GAACGCCGCGTCTGCCGACGTTATCGCCGCGTAAAGGATGCGCGCTCTCGCTCGTATCGGCCTCGTAAACTCCTGCAAATTGTATTTCACGTTATTCCCCGAGGTAGACTCCTTGCTCCCGGTGGAAAATACTTCCCTATGCATTGCTTCCCCGAGTCCAGGGTTTAGGAACCCACGGAGACAATTCGGCGTCCGCGGGATCCTCCATTAAGGCCCCTCTTCTTAAGATCCATTACACGGACGGAGTACCAGGATCTCCGTAATAAAAGAAATACCTATAAATTCGGTCCAGAGTCGGTCCGAAATTCGGAGCTACTCCGGGAAGGCCGCAAATCATCTTCCTGCCGAGGGATGATAGGGCAAAAGCGAGTCAAGTGTTAAGTCGAGGCACAATGCACTTCCCATTCCCGGAGACCACCGATTCGGTCCCTTGACTAAGTCGTAGCCCGGCCCGCTTTCCGGAAGCGGAACATATTTCTCCGGGTTATAGAAAAAGGAGCGTGGTAAACCACGATCCCGAAAGCATTTCGCGACGTAACCTAAAATAATGCCCGACAGAATCGAACAAAAGGTTGAATTATGGCCGAACCGCCGCCGTAAGTCTCCTCCGTTCGGTAACTTATGATACATTTCCTCTCCCCGTATGTGGAAAAAAAAAATCCGACCACGCGTCCTCGATGTATCACGCAAAGATCACGTACTATCCGGTACAAGGACGGGAAAAGATAATTACATTAACACTTTTCGGGAAAGCTTCATAGCCCCCCCAAAGAAACAAAGACCGAGTGCAGGTACGCATCTTTGCGTGCACCGAGGCGGAATTACCGCGACCAAGGAAAATAGGGTAAAAAGTGTCATTACGAGAGAAAGCATCGGTCATATCGAAAAGTTCGAGGTTCCTGTGTTTACCCTGGCTCGAGTCACAGGACGTGTCCACGGCTTGCCGGCAATTTGCACCTCGTGCGCCGACAAAGTGGCGGAATTCATGAAGAATTCAGGCCTTGCCACGACTTGCCGGCCACCGCGTTTCAAGTATTCCCGTATATATCCCAGACAAGGGTCGATCGATTTACGTCTGGGCTCTTGACCCCTAACGACGGATTCCCTTAGTTTCTTCTCGTCGGTTTGGTTTCGTCGAAAGAGGGAGGCGAAAGAAAAGGAGAGCCGCCCTCCCGGAGGAGACTCGAGGTAAGGCCCGTAAAGCCGTATCCGCTTCTCGTTTCCACGGGCCGCGGGATTAATTGCAACGACCGTGTCTTAATTGATAACTAGGGGCATCAAGATTTCACATAATGCCCCGCAAGATGGATATCCTGGCGACGACGCCGAGAGCCCCTCGCCTCCCTGGTCCAGGATTCTGGTATAAGTACCCGCTGCAAGGGAAGTACTTCTGAAATAATGCCCGCCACTTGGCGACTACCGTATTTGCATTAAGAACCTCGAGACCCGGCGGAACCCCCTACCCTGAGAAACTCGAATACCCCCTAAAACGAAGAACGACATTTAATGATTAATTTGTAAAATGATTAAAAAACCAAGATCTTGACTAACTCACCCCCATGGTGTGTTATTCTCCGTGTTTATCCCTCTATTTCCTTATGGAGAAGATATCTTCTCCTGGTCGAGAATCGAGAAGGTATACGTCGCGAAGAAAAGTGCATTCGGTTCCGCGAGGGAAACACTTACAGAGACTCGGTAGACAGATTTTTACGAGGTCAATCCTTTCGTTCCTCGCGTGCTCGCTACCCGGTAGTTACCGACATGACGAATACACATTTGCCAGGGGCACAATGTATCGCATTTTACGAGTTACGGGGGCACTCAGATTTTATTACGTTATTTTGTTAATGCACTCGACGAGTCTACGAGGCGAAATGCCTCGGCTCGAAAAGTACCACGCGGGACTGGCGGCCAGAAACGAGCCATGAAATATTTTATAACGTTTCCCTTCGGTCTCCGCGATCTTTACGTTTCGCCCGGCGTCCGCGGAATCCGGCGTACGTGCGTGGCCGGTTAAAGGCCGCAGAAGGAAGCAGCCCAGGAATCACGGGAATTATCTGTCGGCAATAAGGGAGCCCGCAACCCGGGAGCGGAGCTAACCGATGGACCAAATAAACTATGATAAGAAACCGCCGACCAGGCCGGGTAACGAATTAAACGACTCGCCTTATAAGAAGTTCGCTCACGCTCTTCATCTACTTGCCAGGGGGAACACTTAACGCACACAAGAACAGCCATTCGGGCCATTCTACCAGGACTCGGGAGGTTAAACTGAACTAAAACATCCCCGGGACTCCGAATTCTCTCCCAAGGCGCACCGAATAAACAGGACTGATAACAGAAAAGCGACTTACAAAGCTGGCAATTCCCCGTCGCGGTATCCCTGCTCTCCTCCTGAAACACGCGTGCGGCATGGAAATATCAATTGGTACCAGTAACCAGACTTAACGAGACATCGAAATGATATCCCGGATAAGGTGATAAGACCAAATGACCAAAGGTCCAGATAAAACCTCACGAGAAGGTACGACCTGACTTCTGCCATCCTTGCGAAAACCTCCCTCGTCTCCAGGTACCTCCTGCGACGCCATTCTCGGATTAGCTGCAAAAGGACACGTAGGCTCCTTTACTGGGTCCGAACCCTGGGGAGAAAAATGTAATTCGGGGTCGAGCGAGACCTCGAACCGGTTAAAAAATAAAATTCCCCTCGGCGAACCGTGCCCTCGGGATATCTCTCGAACTCCGACCCGCCGAAAAGCTGTCCATCTCCTCGATTTTTTACGGGCGGCGTTTAAGCTCCCACCCTTAACGGCCGTCGTTAAAGGAGGCGCGTTTTCGAGAGGGCTGCGGTTTGTCAATATAATATATCCGAGTTATTTTAACGGCGGCAATAATTCCTGTCGCGAGCGATAAATCACGGTGCCTCCGCGGCGGATGGGCCGTGATATACGCGTGCCTTTTAGTGCCGCGCACTTAGTAAATCACGCGGCGAAACAACGCCGACTGTAAACCTGGAATATGTATATTACACCCTGGTTGGGCTCCGGGTCCTCGTTTCGCATTTGGATATGGAGTTCCTCGTCTCTTCGCCCAGGAGTTCGATCCTCGTCCGTGCAAACCACTCGCCTAATTGCTGCCGTCAGGCCTCGCCGAAGAATTTAGTGGGCCTGGTACCGCTCCACGTTTTGTCCCATGATTAATAAGCACCATTAATATACGGGGAAACTACGCCCTGATATCTCTATCATCTGCTAAAACATTCCGCAAAGTGCGCGCGTTTCCATCGATTCGCGGGTATACCTTGACTCAGCCGCGACCTAGCCCAACCTACCTAAGGTGAGCTCGTATATCCCTAGAGTATGATTCACCGGGAATACCTTAACGCTTGCAGTAATAATGCCTCTACTTGCAGGTCTCTTCCCACCCCCTCCCCGAAAATCACAATAAAAAGAGAAAGAGCAACTTCCACCCCACCCTGACAAAACTCAATATCGAGATCTACATAGATTTTTACCTCATAACCAAAGCTCTTCACGTAGAAAAACATTAAATCTAAAAAATTACAAATTAGAAAATTTATAAATACACCTAATGCCTATCTACCACATTAGTGCGGTTTTACTTGAATTACATGTAACGTTACAATTTTTATTAATCTGAATATCCAATGATAACGTGAATTTACACGGCCACTTTTATCGGTGCATTGTCATTTCTCGAAGAAGAAGAAGAGAAATTGGACATTTTTCGAATGATCGATCGGAAAAGCACGGAAGCGCATCGTCGATATTGTCTGTCATCGAGGAGAATGGCGTCCTCGCGCGAAGGGCGTCCTCGAGTAATAGCGTAAGAGCGAAAGAAAAAAAAAAAGCAACCTTCCAGGATGCCCTGTAAGGTCGATCGGATGGCCGACTGCCTCTCATTTTTTTCCTCGGACACTTCGATTCGATTTGCCCGATCGAACGTGACGACGGCCACGTGCCGCTCGCGCCGCCCCATGAAGGGCCCATGGTGAGGGATTCGGTTCTTCCTTCGGCGAAGAACGACTAGACGCCATGGATGGAAGGGAATCCCGAGGGTGCGTTTTCGCGGGAACGGCCTGCTAATGGTCTTTCGACGAGGAACATCGCGAAGATAATTTAACAACCGCGGAAGCACGTGACCGCGTCGTCAGCTCGTCATTGCGCACTTGTACCTGTTACACGTTGACCGCGAATCTATTAGGGCTTTTCCGCGCGTCATTCTATTTACCATGAATGGAATAAAAGAACGTTTAATAAGAGGGTACGCGGATGAGTCACGAAGCGAATCGAATCGACTGGTATAATTGCAAGTAATGCGTCGAATGGGCCGAATGAAATCCGTTTTTCCAGAGGGAACGCGCCGAATGGGAAGCGCTACGTTTTCGACACTTCGCGAATGAAACCCCCTGCCGGGAAATCCCACTTTTCAATCCGCGATATATAGTAGCTGGGAACGCAGGACGGAACCCTACGAAGTAATATCGGCCGCCCAATAAAGCATAACGAGCCGTGCTAAACCACCGCTCCGGCGCTTTTCAATTTTTCAATTTCCATTTTGCGTTTCCCGCCGTTTTCCACTCGACGGGACGCGAAAAATCGACAAAGCGCCTTTCACGTTGCTTTGCCGCGGCCAACTATTCTGAGTCATATTTCCGTGCACGGGAAATAAACTCGCGACGCAATTCGCGCGACTCTCATCCAACGAGTGGCGGACGCGACCTATGCGCATACATTGTAAAACTCGTGGGCAATTTCTCAAAACATTTAACCCCTTTACGACCCGGATAGAAAATCGCTCAGCCATTCTCGAGAGGCCGTTTGTGTAGAATCCATTTGTTTCGCATGAGATTACGTTATCGAATGTAAATGGCCTCCACGAAAGGCTGCTCTCGGTAGCGTGCGCTTTGCGGTTACTAAAAATATGCCGTAAAACGTGCTCTATCGTGGGCTGCTTTCATGACGTCACAGCCTTCATGCTTGAGGTATAGGAATTTAATGCAACTTCAGACTTCTGCAAATAAATGAAATTCTGTATCTTTACAAAAATATAAAAAAGAATGTATCTTCCGCACATGATGAATTCACTTTTTTTTGCACTGTACTTCAAGGATGTCGTTCAGCATAGTCGGGTCAAGTGTGAAGAGATGGAGCACTTGGACGTTTATAGTTCATTTTATGTAGGAAAAATACTTAATGGCGACGTGTCTTTGAACTTTAGGCATATCCCAGGTGCAGGATTTTACCACACATTGTTTGCGGATTGAATATAAATATATTATTATGAGGCGCTTCCTTCTGTGAAACGGTCTTAATTATCTCTTGTCCCATGACGCCACCAACTATAGAACACACTGGACTGGTTTGACCATAGACATCCCCCCTATGATAAGACATTAAAATTCCATTAACTATTATTGTTTATAGATATAAATATGTATGAACGATAGGAGGATACTTGCTCGGTTAAATAATTAATCGTATCTCCGAGTTCATATTCCTCGATAATAGATGCAATTTCATCCTTCAAACCCTTGCAATCCCGTTCACTTGGCAATGGATCCTTGCCATATTTTTCACGATAGTTCAACATTACTAAAAATAAAATTGAGTAACATATCTGACGTATTAAGAACGTTTTAAAAATCTTTGGTGAACTGAAATACATATCGGAATACACTTACTTCTTAATAAATAATATGTATCGCCATCTTTAGGCACCTTCTCTACTTCAAAAATTTGTTCAAAAGGTACAAAAGTTTCCTTTCTCTTGACCGTCGTAACAACATTTTGATACACGTCTTTACCAAGGGGTTCTCCTGCTCCAGACTGTACTTTCCTTGACTGTACTACGTCTCTTGACATAAAAAAAAAGTGAAGAGATAACGATTCTGGCTTATGAAATTGAATTAACCATATTTAACTGTAACAAATTATGCTAGTCCCAAATACTACCCAAAACTCTTCAACTTACTCAGCAAATTCATGGGTATCTAAATCAGCAAACGTATAACCAAACATGCCCCAGACATCTCCAACGAAAAACTTCACATTGTGTTTTCTGCATGCATTATTAATTCTCCTTGTCTGTGTGATAGTACATTCCGAAACACATACGACATCAAAGTTTGCAAAATACGAGTCCGGTTTATTATCTACTTTAGTGGTATCGGCATTCACAATAACCATTGGATTTAAATTCTGTGCTCTTTGTACTGAAGCTTCTGCTCTCTGAAAATAAATAACAAATATTTTTAATTATATTAGATTTAACTATAAACACCAAAAGAAACCAAGAGGTACAACGTACATTCTTTCCGATTTCAGTCTTTGGTGCGAGGAACTGAGAACACATATCTTCGGCAGTTAGATTTCTATGATCTAAAAAGGTAATTGACTTCACCCCAGCCAGTATAACATTCTTAGCTACTTCCGCAGCAAAACCATTCATTCCAACGAGCAAAACTTTAGCCGAGCGTAATCTGCAAGTAACAAAACAAAAATCAAGACTTTCCTGTTACAAAATTGTTTCCAGCAATGGTGAATGTACTTTTCAAATTCATTTTATATAAGATTGGCGCGTAATGTTAAAATGAGGTTAGAAAATCGTAGCTTTACCGCTTTTGTGAATCAAGACCCCACAGGCGAATTTGTCTATCGTACAACTCGGCTTCCGCATCCGTTAGCTCTGCGACGGCGTCTTTTTGTTCGACCATCTTAAATTATTAATAAATATCAACGACCTGTTAAACACAAAAGCCGGCTCGTACACAAAATTAATCACGTTGATCACGATCAATCACGACCAGGAAGTAGCAAAGAATCTAGAAACTGAGATGAGTTGGAAGATTGCTCAAAATCAGGTCGCGCGATCGCGTCCTGTGCTGCCTCCTGGTGGAGGATGCAAACGGCTAATGCACCTGTTACCCCTCAGTGACAGCGCAACACATTTTAATTTTAAGCGTATCAGGAGTAAGAACTGTAGAAACGTAAAGTGCCGTATTCATGTAATTTACCTCGTGTATGAAATTTGTGAAGTAAAATACCTAGTAAATTACTGTAAAAAACTACGTAAATTACCTAGGGTATTTTACTTACTCGACCCTGGCCACGAGTGCTCTTCTGGTGAGAATGCCACCGAATGGCCAAGTGGAATGGAATGATTTAAGTAAATTGATTGTAAGTGATTGTTTGCCAGAGTGTATCGACTATTTTACCGTGCGGATGATAATTAGATAGCATTGTGTCCGTGTACTTCGACCACGGCCCGTGGCTTTCAGTTGCAAGCAAGGATCGATTTCACGGTTGCACTGATAACTATCGCCGGTCCCTTTAAATATTTATAAATCAAAATGTCAGAAAACGTGAGTCCTATTAAGTATTTTCTGAGCGGAGGCTTCGGTGGAATCTGCACCGTTGTCTGTGGCCATCCACTCGATACCATCAAGGTGAGGTTATCCTGTGTTTCCTAACTATGAATTTTATAAAAATCTGAGGAAGTTAATATTAGTTTTGGCCCGATCAAGATAATGTAATGTTATGATATTCATTAGGTTCGGCTTCAGACAATGCCGAAAGTTGGACCGAAAGAAAATCCATTATATTCAGGCACATGGGATTGTGCAAAGAAAACTGTTACTACAGAAGGTATCCGAGGACTATACAAGGGTACGATGAATTAATTTATGCAGCCGTGATCACAGAATAATTATGAATAACATTTAATTTTGTTTCTATGTTTATTTATGCATGTGTTTGCTTTATTTATTTAGGAATGTTAGCTCCTCTGTGTGGTATTGCTCCGATATTTGCAATGAGTTTTATGGGATTTGGTATGGGAAAGAAGATTCAACAGAGGCACAAAGATGAAAAGTTGACACCTATTCAGTTGTTTTATGCTGGAGCGTTTAGTGGTGTATTCACTACTATTATAATGGCACCTGGTGAGAGGATAAAGTGTCTTCTACAAGTTCAACATGGTAATACGAAGCCTAAATATAATGGTCCTATGGACTGTGTAAAACAGTTGTATCGGGAAGGAGGAGTTAGAAGTATATACAAAGGTACCTGCGCTACATTGTTAAGAGGTGAGTTTTTCATGCAAAATCAATTAATACTCTTTTACTTATATTTTCGAGTTCGTTACATTTTAAACAATGAATTTAATTCCATTAACACGTGGACTTTGGAATTATGGTGTAACCCATCTTTGTAATATATAACTACGATGTCCTAATCTTTTTATGTGTACTTTCATTAATACTAATCTTACTGCTAAATATATAATACTTTGTAATGTAAACATCACCGTAAAAGTACAACTAACTAATTTCATTATTGTCAAACTCAACCGTTTTTGTGTATTTACGGTTAAGTGGTCGCCTTTTGGGACGTCTACACTGGAGCCCACCTTTGCGTAATGCATGAAACACACCCCAATTCAGCAACCTCTTTGGTGTAAAACATCTCGGCGCAGTTTCTCGCACCCTGTTGACCTGTAATAGTGATGCCAAAGATTTATCGAAACGATATTGAAATGATTTTAACGCTGCTGAACAGGGATCCTCAGCTTTATTGTTGCATTACTGTACATACCAAGTTTGGATTCCAATTAGCCATTGCACATGTACAATCCCATGGGTTACCATCCAGTCTCACATTTTGTATCTGTGGTTGCCTATTAACAGGACGCAGGTTCTTAAAGAAATCCCATGGCAATGTAGTCAATCTATTTTTACTAAGTATGATTTCTTTTAATTCCTTTTGTTGTTGCAATGTAAATAAGCCTGGCGGAATGAATTCCAGGTCATTGTAGGACAGATCTATTCGTTTAACTTTCTCCAGTCCATAAAATGCATCCATTGATATTTGACGAATATGACAAATGCTTAAGTCCAAGTCGACAAGCTTGTTTAGATCCAAAAAGGCGTCGAAGTCTATTCTGGTAACGTTCCCTCGCATCTTCAGTTCCAACAAGCTAGGCATGCCTTGCAAAATGAAACGTTCCAGCACAGGTATTTCAAGATTAAACAGATGTAACAATTCCACTTGTCGAAGACCCAGCAGAGAATTCTTCTGAAGTTTAAGTTTCGATCCATTACCGCCCAAGTAAAGCTTCATTGTTGTATTCATAATTTCAAATGTGCTGAAACAAAGATCACGACAAGAAAAATTATACACCTTTGTAGTTTAAAGTTTCGTAGGTAATTAATCATGTACTATTCGTTTACCTAGGAAATACGGCATCCAAAGGATTTTCCCTAAAATCCGCTATTCTCAGTGCTGGGAATGGAGGAAATGAAAGTTCCGACAAGAAAGTGAGATTATTCCCTCGGAGATCAAGCTGTTCCAGCATCAGTAAACCAGCAAGATCCACGCTCTTCAAAGTTAGCAGCTGATTGCTTGCCAATGACAAAGATCTGAGACTCGGAGTGCCATAAAAACAAAATTCGGGAATAAATTTCAAATCGTTCCTCTCGAGTGACAAGTAGACCAAACTTTCGAGGCCATCGAACATGTGCCAAGAGATGTCTTTGAGTGCACAGTCGTAAGCTCTCAAGTGAGTGAGCACGCTCAGACCCGTGAAAAGGCCACCGGTTTCTCTGTAGCCTTCAACCTCTTGCTTGTACACATCATACGGTAGAATTTCTTTGTCGTCATTCTCACCAGAGTTTTGCTGACTCAGAAAAATCAGTCGATGCCCATTTCGATTACTACTGTTCGTGGCAGTGATTGCAATAGTTCTTTCTTCATTGCTTGGTGTGCTCATAGGCTTAATTACCAGATTGGCCTTATTCCGATTAGTCAAGCTTAGTCCAGTGAGTGTGACTCGTTCCAAGTTTAAATATAAAAGTGTCATTCCAAGGGGAAGAAGTGTGTCGGCTGACAGGACGATTCCTCCTTTTTTTCTTGTCTGACTATCAAAAGTGCCAGTTGACGTAGTTGGTTTATATTCGATACCTTGGATGTCCAGTGATATCAGTTCCGTAAAACGCTGTAAATCAACTGCTCGCAGGATGATCTCAGAGTTTCCATTCCCTGACTCCAAGATTGTAAAGACCTAGAATTCGACTCGATAAGAGAAAGAATTCTTCCTTTCGGATACAATTAGATAAGTTTATTCTTGTTTACCTGCACATCGACAGGAAGTTTAGATAAAAGTTCTTCAGGGCTCTCGGACACGATGCAGGTGGCTGATTTTAATAGTTCGGAGAACATGGGATGTTCAGGATCTACGTTGGTATAGGTGTCAACCTCCGAGTTTCGAAAACAAAGGGGTACTCAGTTTTTGTTAAAAATTACTGTCACATAAAATTAAAAAAATTAATACCGGAGTCCCAATTACTGGGTCGATCCACTGATGCAAGGGCAGGTCGGAAAATTGCAAAACTTGGCAGGAACATCCTTGTGGACATTTTACTTCCCACACGCCACCGATATCTATTACTTGACCAGTACTGCATCCCTGTTAATCGAAGAAAAATTCAACTAACTAAAATTAGAAATTGTAAAACAAAACGGACGTAATCTGTCGAGTTTAAATGTTATAGAGACAATTTAATGTCTGGTTTTAAAATGAACTAGCTTCAAACCACTTTTATGGCGGTCTTTTTCAGACAATATTTATGTGCAAAGGATCGTACACCATGTCCACGTACCAAAATGAGAAGAGTCCAGAAAAATGAAACTATTTCCATAGTAATTCACACTTTAAACGTAGGAAATTCTAAGTAGGAACGGTATTCAGGATCTTGATTGGGATGCTGGTCCGAGGGAAACTGAATTTTGTTGGCTGCTATCTATCCAACTTGATGCCTCCTATCAAACAGGATGCATACTATCTTCTCGGCCCACACGCGCTACTCGCTATTATTAATTATTGTATATAAACTAAACTTGCAATTCTGAATTAAGTTTTGACTGTACCAAAGGTATAAACTTATCATGAAATCTTTGCAGATGTACCAGCCAGCGGGATGTATTTCATGACGTACGAGTGTCTGCAAAGAGCGATGACCCCGGAAGGCGGAAAGCTAGGACTTCTTTCCACGATTACAGCAGGCGGTTTGGCAGGGATTGCCAATTGGATCGTAGGGATGCCACCAGATGTTCTAAAGAGTCGACTTCAAACTGGTAACTGTTCAAAACCACTGTTTTAAAAGTTTATCGAAGCCACCTATTTTTTAAATTCATTATCTTTTGAAATATTATTTATCAAAATAATACAACAGAAAAAATAACCTATTAATCACATTTTTAGGTTACCTAGTTTATTGAAATTATATATGTATTAATTTTGTATAGTGTAATGTAATGAATTCTGTTTTTTCTTTTTCTTTTTTTTTTTTTTCAACCAAAGCACCTGAAGGCACTTACAAGAATGGTATCAGAGATGTTTTCACACAATTGATGAGAGAAGAAGGACCTCGGGCACTCTATAAAGGCTTTACTCCTGTCATGCTTCGAGCTGTTCCAGCTAACGCTGCCTGTTTCTTAGGATTTGAAGTGGCCATGAACTTCCTTACATGGGCTGCACCAAACTTATAACATCGATCTGATGTTACCAAGACTGAGAGCTACCTTCGTCTTAACAGACTTACTAACGTAGTAAAAATGTAGCGTAAAGGTGGATCTTGATATCAAGTATCGTCACCGCAATGCTTCTCGATAATACGTGCTTCTTGACCAATTTTAAGAGGATAGAAACATACTGATTTATGAACATTATTTCCACTCAAGTAAATTTGTACAGGTCATTAAATTGTTTCTGTTATTGCCACTGCTATTTTTATTGTCAATTTGAACAAAAATGTACATATTCCCATAATGCCTATTTTTGTGAATTAATATTAGGTGGGGAAATACCTTTAAACGTGAGGTATAATTTTCGTGTATACATTATTAAAATCAGTGTTAATTTTGATAGACTAGCCTTTTGCAATTTTTTACTGATAAAAGTATAACGTGTTGTTGGGTACAGGAAATAATGTTTGTAAATCAATACAGAATTTAACTGCTCTTAATATGTAAGGAAAATATGCATCCCAAAGCTGCCATTAAATTACTAATCCACAGGAACATAGTGATAATATGAAAGTATAGATGTAAGAAGGATCTTAAGTGTCATTCAATGGAAAACATTACATCAAGAAAGGTGTCAGGGGATGTAATTGATAAGCAAAGTTTTCCTAATACATATCGAGGACAAATACAGGTCACGTAGTCGTGTTCAACTTATTGCGTCAAGGAATTACACCTGATTTCATTATTAAAAGAAGTACTTGACTAAGGCTAACTTAAGCAATGATACAGTGTGTGTATTAATTGAGTAAAAATGCAAATACTATAGTGTAGTGTATAATACACGCAATTGTTAATTTTCTACAAAAATACTTTTAATGTTAATATTTTTTAAAAGATTTGTATTTTTGTTGTTGATAGTGAAGAGAGTGAATTATTGTAATAGACTTATGAATACTGGCATTTTATTGTAATAATTAATACTTTTTTCTTATGAACTTGAAAGTGATTTTAAAAATCACACATAAAAACATTTTGTATACCTAATACTTTAGGTATAAAAATTTATTTAAGTTTCAACACTTTACATATCAGCTGATAACAATTAAGTATCATATGATGAATTGTTTTGCGAATGGCAGATATAAATTCCTCAATGGTCTCTGCCGGCTATATACGCACAGAAAATGCATGCAAATAAGTTGTACGGTTTCACCGTCATGTGGGTTATAATCAAAATGTACTATTTTGTAATTTTTATGATAATTGTTTGTGTATGTATTAACGCTCATTAAACTGAACGTTAAAAACACACAGCGATATAAGAAATTAACTTAATTTATTACAGTAACTTAACGAGATAATGTGTAAAAGGACGTTACAGTTGATAAATAAAAAGAATTCCAGTTTAGTCTTCAAGGTTGAAGATCGTAGGAACAAGTAACTCCATGATTACAAAATGTATCTCATGAAAAAAATCAATTTCTGAGAAATCTCTATAAAATCTTGATTTTCCCACCAAATTCCAATGGTACATCAAAACATCTGACAGTCATTAGACTACGGTCGAAATAAAAAATCTGTATGTAGAATAATCTTGGATTTGCTTTTTGCAGAGTACAACTGTCAAGACACATTTTCACAGTGCACCGATAGATAAATACACGACTGGTCTTGGAATGGTGGCACTTTATAACAGCATTTAAAATTATTCTCACATAAACGTCACTCTTCCCAGTCATTTTCATCTGGCTGGGAGTCACATTCGCTCGTGGTGGAGTTTCTGTCAGAGACTGCCGAATCACTTTTCTTTGGTGGGGGTGGAATTAAACTCGCCATTCTCTCGAGAGCTCCAATGCTAGAACCAGCGATACCTTTTCTCCTGAGAGATAATTTCGCATGAAGATCAGCCATAAGGTCACCGCCAACAGAAGCCGACGACCAATTTCTTTCTTTCTTTTCCGCAGGAACAGTGTGCCGTAATTTTGCCCTTCCAATTCCACCAGCATCACGAATTGCTGCCATCAAATTAGAGTGATCATTTCCAGTATTCACTACTTTAGCTGCAGGTTTTGTGGATATTTTTTCTTTAGCTTTTGTATCAGATCCTTCCTGTAACTGTTCAGAAGCTGTAGGTTCTAACATTGGAGCCGGAGGAGGCGGTGGTGGTGGCGGTGGTGGTGGCGGCGGCGGTGGTGGCGGTGGCGGTGGAAGAGAAGGTGACAATTGCACAGATTGCATTGGCTGAACTTGCACTTTGGATGGGGAGGAAAGTGTGGATGGTGGAGGTGGAGGAGGCGGTGGCTGTAACGAAGTTTCAGATGAAGAAACTGTTTCTTCTGGGAGAATTGGCAGATTCAGAGCATTATGCTCAGCCTTTGTAGATATATCTTTCCCATCCGACGGTGGAGATGGTAGATTGACTCTAACCGTTGGGGTAGTAACCGATGAAGAGGGTGCAATCGGACTTTGAGAACTGAGGTCTAATTCAAACTGCTCGTCGTCAACGATGCCTGGTAAATCTGGTAATGTCAGTGGAACATCTATTTGAGGTACCTAAAAGAACAAAGACAAAATTAATGAGTTTAAATCCATGAGACATTTACATGAAATGAACATTTCTGGTACCTCTCCTAAAATTGGTGCATAAAGGTAGGTTGAAGGTGATTCCAGACTTGAAGAATACCAAGGCTGCACAATTGAGTCAGGTGCATCTTCGAGTTTTTGCTTTTCATCTTTTTGAAAAAGAGGCTTAACAGACGTCTCATATGGGCTACCCAGATCATGAAGTGCCAACAACGAACTTAGTGAGTTTATATGCGACGGTAACATATCTTCGACCACTTTATGCATTTCATCTCTCTTGGATTTGGATTTAATATAATAAAATTGCAATTTTTCTTGAAGGCTCTCAGCAATATTGTACTCTCCATCTTTCAGTCTATTGATACTGGATTCAGAGGGTTCTGCAATGGGTGTCGGACTTTTATAAATCGATATAGGCCTCTGCTTGAATGAACGCTGTATCGCTAGTTTGTATTCCCTATATGTATGACTAGCTGGATATTTAGCTGGCGAAATAATCTTCACAGCTTTCAAACTCATATTAGTCTCTAAATGGTTCAACCATCCTTCAAGTTTCACTGCTCTAGTTTTAATACTTGCTAATCTGAAAGTGGTTTAAATTCAACAATTTAATAATTAAAATTAATCAAGGTTCATAATTAAGTGCATTAGTATAACCTCTCCCGATTTTCTGATATTCTAACATCGATGCATTCAAAGATATGCGAGACAGCTGAGTTTAATTTGTCCAAGACTTTGGCTATTTGGATAATTGTTTCCTCCTGCCTCAGATCCTGAGGAATAACATCTAAAAATCAAGCAATATATGGTTTAACTAAGAGAGTAATAAACATTTTTATACGTGAAGAATACTTACTAATTTCAAGGCAGTCCGTCATCTTTTGTTTGGGAACTGGTTAGAATAATCACTGATATACCGACTCGCATTAAGCGATAACAAATCTTGAATAAAAAAGAATTTCCTGAAGCGTGTAAAGGGCCAGTACGTATACATCACCAGGTCGTAACGAAAAGCATTTCTCAAGAAGACTTTCTTGTACTTAAAGCCTTACATGTAGAAATTCGTGGAATGATTAGAAAGAATTTCTCTAAAAGTAACTGACTGAGCATAATACGCACACAAAAATATAATTCCTGCTGACTTTGACAGGTTAGGGATCGTCCGATCCAAGGAGTATTAGATCTTATAGAGTGGAAAACTAATATGACATTTCCATTTTTTAAAATTGACACTTCACAACGCCCTTTGGAAAAACTGGTGGATAAGTTTCGTTAGGGAGTCGTCAGGTCACAGCAACTTGCGCAGACCTTCTAAGCGTATTGCTATTCATCGGTCTGAGATGGTCTGAAATGAAACATGGCGACTCCGGGATTTTGTGTTGTCTTGAATCGGCTATTTAATTTGAGAACCGTTACTGCACGTTTAAATAATGTATGGAATGTGTCATCAAATACAGCCTCTTGCTCGGTATGCCTGCTAATATACTTAATTCAATCTGTCATGCTTGAATATGTTCTGAATATATAATTATCAATTCTTTTGAATAACCTCAACTCTCGCACAATGAAAGATGCGGTAAATTCATTTTTTAAGTCATGTTTGCTTGTTTAGGCCAGCATTCCACGATTGTATAGTACTGAAACTGAGGGCAGTCAAAATGAATCAAATGAAGCAAAGAATCTTGTACAGCAAGATGGAAAAAAGCTCAGTAAAGCGATGAGAGCTTACTTGGAACGAGCGCAGGCACATGGTTTGTTTAAGAATAATTAATGTAAGATAGTACTTATTTTAATGATATATTATATGGAACTATTTCTTTAAGATGAGTTTATACAAAAGGAGAATTATGAATATCAAATCGGTAAACGCCATTTGGCAAACATAATGGGCGAAAATCCAGACTTGTTCAGTCAAAAGGATATCGATGTAAGTAATAGGTATACAGTAGCGTACAAAGATGGAATGACATCTGCTTAACATCCAAACATTTTTATTATACATCAACATTTATCAAAGAATTTTTTTACAGGCTGCAATTGAATATTTATTTCCATCTGGACTTTATATGAAACAAGCAAGACCAATCATGCAACCTCCAGAAGTTATTTTTCCTCGACGAAAAGCGGCTGAATTTGATGAGAGTGGTCGACCATTTCACTCAATGTTTTATACTTGCAAGCCTAACTACTATGAGAGTCTCTATGTAAAATAATTTCTGAATACTTTCAAAGGTAAAGTGATATACTTTATTATAATAAACTTCATTTTTGTTCAGGAATTAGTAGGGCATCTTAATAATCTCAACGCTTATGAAGATGAAATGATAGGGAAAGGATTACCGCCAGTGAAGGAAGACAAAATGTATGTCTATGTGTACATTATATTTTTTAATGCTTGACATAAAAAAATATTTTTATTCATGTTACTATTCAGTTTCATATTAATACTTTCCAATTGTTTTTAGAAACTTGGAAAATTCAGAATGGTTGAGCAAGTCCAATTTGGAGCTATTACTGCTGGAGAATATAAACGATAATCAAGTGAGCATATTTATCTTTTGCGTGTAGTTACAATTCTTTTGCTTATTTATTAATGACTATGTACCATTACAGTACGACTACTTTATAAGTTCAGTCACAAGACTTGTGGAACATCCATATTCTCAACGAGCCAAGGAATTTATCATGAAGTTCAGGAAAATACTGTCATCCGAAACTGATCTTACTACAATTCCTCCGGTATGTATATGTATGTTCCATGATTTTTAGAATCTATTAAATATTTCATGCAAACTTTACTTTGGGAATCATAGTGTACTTCATGTATAAATCTTAGTTTTCTGCATTCTTTTGTCTGTGCTAATATCGTATACACATTTCAGTTAGAAGCTGATGAAAATGGAAGGCCATTTGCTATTGTCAAAAGTAAGCTTTAATGTTTCATATTTCTTTCTTATTTACCTTTCTTTTGTAACATCATTTTATTTTATTTTATTTTTTTTTCAGAGTCTAAGCGGAAAACCGCTCTTGCGTCTGTGAAAGTGTGGGGCAATGGTTCAGGAAAGATCACAATTAATGATCAAAGTCTCGATTACTTCTTCAATGTTCAAGAACGAGAACAGGTAAGACATAATGTATTTCCTTAATTTTCTAATCGAACATGTATATAGTACACAAAAATTTCTTGTGTTCACACATCTACCATTCCAATGTTCTGATTCAAAAATTGAAGAACATCAAGGCGAGAAGTTTTGTTTCTTTCTTGCTGGAAAAAGTGACTCAACCTTTCAAAATATGACTCAATTATCACATAATGAGTAATATAACATGTTCTTAATAACGTTAACACCAAAAGATACATGTGAACATTGGTCGTTCTTATGTTAACCTTCGGTTATCAAGGTAGATACAGTGAAATGGTGAAGTGTAGTGTATCAGGTAAGTGATAACGATTAAAATAAATCATGTAGAATATTTCATGATCGATTCATTAATAAATCAGGTAAGTCCATTTTTGAGGAATTATTATTCAAATTACTTCTGTTACCCATATCTACCTTTATCAAATTTGAAGATCGAACAGATTTATTCGATACTCATTTCCGAGTGAAACGAGCTAATTTAATGCAAAACCCCATATGGCTAACGTCGAAGGCTTGCAAAAGACTCGTCACGCAATCTTTCACCCTTACCATCATTCTCACCTATTAAATCTTGCAAGAAATATTAGTTGACGTCACTTGATTGAGAAAGTATCTAAATAGCATGACGCGAGCAGGAAAGCGCGAGGCTTACAAGTAACGTGATAAAAATAAATAACGTGCGTTAACGCCACATTTCTCCGACAAGTCTCTATTTCTAGGTCTCACATTTATGTAAGATTTCTCCATTCTAGTAAAAGCCGATGGAACGTCCTGCCTTGAACTCACCGTCTGCGTATGTCTCGAGCACTTCCAATTTACATATCCAACACCGCCACGATAAGTCTAACTTCTCCAAGGAAAACTTGAGTGTCATCAAGAGGTTCCAATTAATTCCATTGCCTTTACACACCCCGTTAGAATACATTATCACACACTCATTCCTCTTCTATCGGTCGTTTTCATTCCATTTAGACCGAAGCCGGTCTTCGCAGGAATTCCGCCAAAGTGAAAGGTTCTGCCGTCCAAGTAGCCATTTCCCTCGAGCTAACAATTGAAGAATTCGCTGCGGAAAAGAGAGAGAAAAAAAAATGAAGAAAATCACACGTTCTCCACATCCACCATGCAGCCAATTTAAGTCATTTTTGCAACAGGAAGTTGCATCGTCCTTGGCCGATGATTCAGGCCACAGTTTCCCACGCAATGCCTGATCCACTAATGCGGTAATCCTCGTTTAATTACCCTCGATATCTCATCTCCTCGATTGATGGATAGATAAAGCTCAACATTGATTTGCGATCTGCTTAGAGAGGATGTTTCAGTGCCGTTTTATCCGGAGGAGACGAGGAGCGAGATCGAGAGCCTGTTTTTCTCGGCGTGGAACGCCCTCAAACGGCGGCGATTATTCCGCGATCGGAACGAGCGCCGTTACCGCCAATGAATTCGACGTGGCGAGGTGCATTTGATTGCTTAAACGGCCGGCCAAGTAATGACCGTAAATCGCGATGATTCCCCACGAAGCTGGTACGCCGGCTAAACCAATGAGAGACGCCAGGAAATACCGTAAGCACTGTTATGTGCGGAGCGCTTGCAGTGGGAGTGGATCGTCTAAGTTTCGCTGCTCGGGTTCGGCCTCTTCGCCGGCGTCTCGAGGTTATCACCGAATCTGGGTCTTATCACGAAGGGATCGTGCGCGCCTTCCCGGGATGTGAGTACACCCGCGACTGTTATGAAAGAAAGCGACAAGAAATAGAAAAAGAAAAAGAGAATCGCGTTAGCCTCGACCGGTCGGAAGAACAAGAAGAAGCGTCAAAGTAAAGATGGAAAGAAAAAAAAAAAACGTGGCACACGGACGTGCACATGTCTCGCACGGCATCGAGAAATGCGCACTCGGTTACGTCTTTTAGATTAAATGAGTCCTACATTCGTGACGATACCTTCGATTTACCGTCAAGTTCCTTTTTATAGTGCGAATAACGCGTTTAATCGGCCCGCGAGGAGAACGCGTTACGCAGAAAATTCCCCGGAATTCGAGATAGGTCGCTTTAATAGCAGATATCAATGAGCGTCTTGCGAATTCCGAATACCAGGACCCTGGGAGGTAATACCGTATCGATTATAATTTTTACAAGGGAAGTCGTTCGCCAGGTGGACGCTAGTTAGAATCCGTGCCTATTCGCGTTCGTATTTTAATCTCCTAAAGAAGCGTCTTGGTTTTTTTCCAGGTTGCGGATCCTTGAAAATTCTTGCACTTGCGGTGAAGGTCCGAGTCCTTGGTGACATTTTATTCCTGTTAGGCTGCACTCGATTGAATGTCAGATCGCGAGCTCAGGAAATCACCGCTGGGACAGGTGTCCTTCGGGGTCCTCTCCAGGACTTTGTCATCGACGCGGTGAGCGCCCACTCGATGTGCAGAAGAATCGCGATCCCACTCCGAAGGAGGCGATGCCTTCCCCTCGAGATGCACAGTCGCTCGATTAAAAGTCACCAGTCCAGTGGAGTCCGCGATTCCAACCGGTTCCCGGGATATTCCGGGGATTCCCTGGGCCGATTCCACGACCCTTCTTACATCCGTATCTCTCCCAGTACGTCGAAGAGCTCCCGGCAGTGCGCCTCGCTTTCGCTCATCGGCGCCTCCACCTACCAAAAGTACACCCAGCAAAGATACTCTTCAAGGATTATATTGAAAATTCCGAGCCCGTTAGAGGTACTCTTCTCAGGAGAGAAACGTTCCCCCGTGACAGTGATAACCAATGGACATAAAGATCCGGAGCAAACTCCAACCCCGCGGAAAGTGTTCGCCACTTTCTCCAGTACTCGGCCATCCTGGAAGGTCGATTCCTCCCTATTTATCGAGGATTTCTTCTCTGTTGGGGAACGATATCTTCTGTCAATGTTTCGTTATGTATCCACTTGTATCGACTCCCAATATCACGAGGGCAGATATGCGTAGGGTGTCGACCGAGTCCTGTTGTAAGAAAACGCGGCACGTCCGATTCTCGATCTTGCTCCCGAAGAAGGTCAAGTTCATTGAACAATCGGACGTGTCGCTCGTTGCCTTCGACCCTTTACATTAAGAGGACTTCGCGACACCTCGCTCGGATGATTTATTCTTCCTCGGCGCGTCCACCTCTTGACACTATTCAATGCTAGATTATAATTAATTCGAGTGGCCTAACCGAAACGTCCTAAGACATTTGTCGAACTCGAGGGGCCTTTAACGTTGTCAGGATTTTTTATGAACACTCGAATGTCGTTCTTCGTGGTCGGCAAATCGCAGGGAAACAGGTGGAGTCGCCTCGGAGAAAGTTTACGACCGAATCTGCGTAGAAGAGTCCGCTCCAAACTCGTCCGGTCGCGGGAGTCATGTATTTTGGCTTCGACCTTGCCTCAGAAAGTCGTCGTAATTTTCCTGGATAAAATTTCCCCGGACCAAGGGGACAGGCCTGATCCGGGTGATCCTGGATCTGGAACATCGCCGAGCTGTGTTTTTTTCCTTGGGCTGTGCTCGAAACAACTCGGCGGACGTGAATGAGAGTGACGTCTGCAATTTACTCGTACGATTTACCAATTGACATTCACAGTGTTACACTTATTCGGTGCCAACAAATGCGGCGTGCACGCGTCGTGCTGAAATAGCTCCTGCAGTATACACTTGGCCACTCGGCTCTCTGGTATCGTCGGTATCGCATTAGCAAATGTGTCACGGGGCTACCGTTACACATTTCCACATACATACCCGGTGCGTGCGACATAAACGGACTTTGTTTTCCTACAATCTCGTAAATACGACTCTTCTTCCGCGTACGAAATCCGGACGCTGTGTCGTAACCCCGCGAGACGATTTCTTAAACTTCCTGCTCGGGAGCCTTCCAACGAAGATTCCCAATTTTCAAAGTAATGGGGCCTCGATTAGTTCCGGCAATTCACTCGGAAATTGGAGGAAATCTGGGAGAAATCCGATCGACACCGGTTGAGCCGGTCAACCGGCGTTGAGGCTTATCGACCCATTGTCGACAGCCAAGGATAAGCCGGTTAAGTGTAAACGCTTGGGAATTGGCAAGATAGATAACGTGCTCGGCATTTTCAGGATGCTCTCCGATGACACGACCCCGAGGTGACGCCCCAGGATGGGTGATGGCTCGAAGCGGAAGAGCGTACCGACCCTGACGCCGCTGCAGAAGAGGATCCACCTGGAGAGGACGATCAGCATGCAAATTCCCCCGATTTCGCCGATTTCCCCGCCAGTCGGTCAGAGATGTAAAAGGACTACGTCCATGCTGCTAACGCGATGGTTCGCCTCCAAGAGGAACCCTTCCATGGACCCCGACGAGGGCTGGATCTCGGAAGATCGGTGTCTGGAGTACGGCACGCCGCCACCCATAGAAGAGCCTCATTGTTACTCCATGTGCATCAGCGAGACTTCGTACACGGACGAAGGGAACTGCGCCTTGCAGGTGACGAAGGACGGGGTGAGGGGTCTATTAACGGAGCACACGAGAGGCGTCGGCGGGAGGCTGCAGCTCCTAGAGGACCTTGAGACGGGCAGGATAAGCCCAGAGAACGTGGACCGGCTGGCCGTGTCCTGCAAGCCTCAGGAAATTAACGCTCTTTTGTTGCACGCCAGTTTCCTAGGTCGTGGCGACCTCCTACCTGGACTACACCGGTGCGGAGCGGACCTGAACCACTGCGAGCAGGAGCAAGGTCTCACCGCCCTCCACCTGTGCGCCTTCAGCAATTGTCTGGACGGCGTTCGCTACCTTATCGACAACGGGGCCAACGTGAACTCCCGCAAGGTGCACACGCCCTTCCACTATGCAGCCTTCGGGAACTCCTACCACGTCGCCAAGTACTTCCTGGAGCTGGGTGCCTGCCAGCACATGAGCCAGAGCGAGGAGTCCGTGCTGCACTCCGCCGCCAGGAGCAATGCCCTGGACGTCTTGAAGATACTGGCGCCGAAGAACCCCGCGTTGGATCGACTGGACAGCAACGGATTGGCGCCCATCCACCATGTCGCCGATAGAGGAGACCCTGCGTGTCTGGCCGAGCTGCTCAGAGCGGGCTGCCAGGTGAACTTGCCCACGAAGAAGGGCGATACCGCCTTGCATCTGGCCGCAGAGGCAGGGTGTGCCGAGAACGTGGATCTGCTCCTGGAAAGGGGGGCGAATGCCAACTTGAAGAACCACAGGGGCCAGACCGCTCTTCATCTCGCGGCACGGGCGCATTCCTTGGAGTGCGTCGAGCTGCTGCTTCGTCAGGGTAGGGCCGATGCCAACGAGGAGGACAACGACGGGAGGACTCCTCTGCATCTAGCCCTGGGCAGGTCCCTGTTGGCCTACGACGTCTCGGACTTCCTTATCACCTGGAAGGCCAACGTAAACAAGGCCGACAAGTACGGGTACACCCCGCTCCACGTGGCCGCCTTGAACGAGTTGTCCCAGTGTGTGGACATCTTGATACAACACGGAGCGGATCTCAGCTCGAAGACCAAGGGCGGCACCACGGCCCTATCGATAATTCTGCGAAAAACACCCACGTCCTTGAACGTCTTCAAACAACGATTGGACTCCTCGATAACCCTCCACCAGCATGGCTCCGCGGCCGGCGAGGTGGAGCTCAGGCTGGACTTCCATCCTCTGCTGCAACACCAACTACAGGGCGAAATCGGATATCTGGGCACTTTCGTGAAGGAGGGGTTCAAGGAGATCCTGGAACACCCTCTGTGTCAGTCGTTCTTGCACCTCAAGTGGCAGAAAATCAGGAAGTACTATGTAGGCAGGTTGTTCTTCTACCTGGTCTACGTCCTCGTACTGACCGCGTGGGTGATGACCGCGTTGGCGCACAATTGTTATAACGAGTCCCATGGGCAGATGGACTACAAGGCACCGCTCTGCACCAATTCTTCCAGCATCAATGGGTTCCTCTATCGACACCCTGCGGTGATGGAGGTCGAGTGGTACGCTCTGGTCGTTCTCACGTTCCTGGAGGGGATGCGGAAAATCGCTGGCATACTGACCTACCTCTCGGTCAAGCAGTTCTTCACCCAGGCCGAGAACATCGTCGAGTGGTGCGTCATCGTCAGCGTCTTCGCCACCTCCTTCGTCTACACCGGAAGGACCTATGCCTGGCAGAGCCACGTTGGCGCCTTCGCCGTCCTCTGCGGATGGAGCAACCTCATGCTGATGATCGGCCAGCTGCCGATGTTCGGTGCCTATGTCGCCATGTTCACCAGCGTTCAAGCCCAGGTCTTCAAGCTCCTCCTGGCGTACGCGTGTCTCCTCGTAGGGTTCACCGCCAGCTTCTGCGTGATCTTCCCCAGGTCCAAGTCCTTCAGCAGCCCTCATACAGGACTCATCAAGGTCCTCGTCATGATGACCGGCGAGCTGGACTTCGAGGAACTCTTCTTCCCTGGGGAAGAAGACGGCGGCAAGGCCGTCGACGTCGGCGGCGCTTCGTGGATCCTCCTCCAGGTTTCCGCGCAACTGTCCTTCGTACTCTTCCTGCTGTTCGTCACCATCGTCCTAATGAATCTCCTCGTAGGCATCGCCGTCCACGACATCAAGGGCTTGCAGAAGACCGCCGGCCTGGCCAAGCTGGTGCGACAGACCAAGCTCATCTGCGACGTGGAGACCGCTCTGTTCCTGGGACTCCTTCCGCACAAACTGATGAAACTCTTGAGGTGGACGGCCTTGGTCTTGCCATCCCCTCTTAGAGCCGTCCTCACGGTCAGACCTCTGAATCCGAGGGAGAAGAGGCTACCTAGAGACGTTCTCGTCGCCGCTCATAAAGTCGCCAGGGACAGGAAGTTCACCTCCGAGACGTTGTCCAGCAAGAGGAGCAACGGTACCTCTTACGCATACTTCAAGAACGCTGGCTGCTACTCTTCCATTCGTCGACCTCCGAACGAGGACGAAGACTTCCTCAACGAGGGTGACAAGAAGGTCAGGGACGAAATCTCCGAACTGAGGAAGATCTGCGAGAGCAATCAGAGACTCATTCAAGACCTACTCACGGCTCTTACGGCGGACAAGAAGTATCGCAGCTCGCAGGACGTGGATGGAAATCGTTGAGATGGTATCGCCCAGGAGTCGGAATTAATATTTCTTTGTTTTGTTATACGGAGTCTCTTTTATTCGGAGATTCCTGCCGGGTGGACGCGGAAGGAATCGTTAAGGTGGCCGACCTTGGGCCCACTTGTTCCGACCTAACGGTAGATTTTTAAGACCTTGAGAGGAAAGACTATTGGGCGACCTTGCGCGAGCTTATACGGCTACTCGGAGCAATAATTTCACATATGAAACTCACTCCGCAGTAAGAGAAGTGATATTATCGTTTCTAGGTTATGAGGGCGTACCAGGGAGTGCGAAATCTTCTAAAATACTTGCCGCTCTTTGTGCGTCGACTGCGTCAAACGGGATACCAAATGATACTCCGATTTTGCATGTAATATTTTTTTTTCTTTTTTTTTTTCATGGGACGCGGTTCTAGAATCAAAAGTACCTCCAGGACCTCGCGATGGAGGGATAACGTCGTATACGTTATAGGCGTGTTAATCACGGATTTTGTATGTTAAGTCAGCTCTAAGGGATGTATTTAAAGATAGGATTTAACGGTGTCATAGAATTTCGATCGAGGAAGGGATAAGAATGGAATAATCTCGCGAAAGTCGCTAGTCAGGATGCAGCCGGACCTGCAACGCTTCTTTTTCGCGTGATCGTCTCCGCGACCAAAGCTTCGAGGACCTTCGATTTTAGGGACGGATTTTCTATTAGGACTATGTAAATAGTACAGAGTATTGTCTCTGATAAGCGGTGGGATGCGGTAAATCCGGGCAGCTCTAGCGACTGGCTTTTTGGGTAGCGCGTGTCAGCTGATAACAGCTGTAAACTTCGTCCGATTTTATGGGAACGTAAAACGTACCTATCGTGAATTGCTCGTTACGACTGTCGATTCAGAACGAAAGGGAATTATCGGCACGGCTTTCTTGCGCGTAGAACGATATGCCTTTTAACGATACTTCTAGTGCACTTCAGGTATATGGCCAGTTAGAATTTACATTTACAGTCAGTCACGCGAGTCTTCCATTACTATCACCGGGGAATGCATTAAACCCTATTAAGATCGAATTCCGTCCACGATATTAACCGTGCTGCGAGTAGTCTTGTAAGCGTCACTTCTTCCAGCGGCTCTCCTAGATCCTAGATATACAATTGTAAATAAACTTTTGTAACTGAGATCCACCGCGACATAGAAAGAGATTTTATTAACGAACGTATGTGTTCTTTGTCCCGCGTCCTTTTCGCGGAATCGGCGGCTTTGACACGTTTCGATTCCTTCAATGCGATGAAAAGTGGTATCACGCTGTTTTTGCAGCTTGGGAATGTCTCCTGATACAATGCGACGATATCGTTCGATAAATTCCTACGATGTGGGTGCACGTACGTGTACGACGCGGCGGCCATCTTGGATGGCAAGCTTTCGCGCGTTAAATGCGTCTAATAATCAATGCGGTACATTAAATGTGTCCAATAATCAATGCGATGCATTACATGTGCCTAATAATCAATGCGAAGCATTAAATGTATCCGGTAATTAATGCAAATCCTCATGCAGAGCGTAATGAGACCGATATTGGATGTGTCATTTTATCGGCCTCGGAATAACTCACGTAAATGTGAAGAAAGCAGTGGCGGATTGAGATTTATTTAACGAGTCGATGTCAACAGTAAATGCACTCGTGAAGGAAAGAGATACGATAGTGTCTCGCGATAAGTACATCCTTGAGGATATCTCCGTGGCGGTTTCTGTACTCGAGCTCGAAAATTTCCACAAAATGGCGGCGCGGAACGAAGGGTGTCCGCGGACACCGGTGCGTCGTCTCAGGAAAATAATTTAAGCAACGAGGCACATTGTTTGTTTTCTCGGCACGTGTGGCAATTGGAAAGAATGTTCTTGCCCAATGCCGTGTCCGAGGGGCCTCAGATTTCAAGGCTCGGGGCGTTACTTCGAAATGTCGAGCAGGTCCGCCATGTTTGTTAGTCTTCCCTCGTGATGGATGAGACGCTCCGATTTTCGGATGGCTGAACAACGCCTTCCGGTATCCTTGGGCCAAGATTACCCGCAATAATGGTTTACATGGATGTTCCTCGTAAATTAAGACCGTTTTTCGTCATTTTTAGTGGCGGGAGGGAATTAATTCTTAAGGCGAGCGCTCAACCTTTTCCGCGTGGTTTGAAAATGGCGGGAAAAAATGAATCGATCTCTTGTGCTAAAAAAGATCCACGTGGATGGGATGGAAAGACTTCTCGGAGCTGTTTTGGACCGGTCTCGGAACCGGTCCATGGGCGAAAATCTCAAAGTCACTTTAAAAATTAGGCGTTTCGGTACGAGTCAGGGTACAAGGTAACCGGCGACATCGATGCGGAAAGACGCACCGGCTAAGCAGCGGACGCACCAGAATGTTCCGTTATTCATTCACGTATGGATACCTCGTGATATTCTCGGCGCGTTAACTGTGAATAGTCAGCAAATCGGAACGTAGGCGTTCTCGTCGTACGAGCCACTTTGCGATCCTCGTAATTTCATACTCGGCAGATAATAAACCCGGCGGTATCGACGTCGCTCTGGGAAAATTCTTTCGCTACGCGAGGAGCCTTCGCGGGCCAATTTGTGGGAATTGCGGTCTCTAAGGACCTTTGCAAGTAGGATGCACCAGGATAAAATGGCCCTCGGGATCTGCACAATGAATACCGTGCTTTGCTTTATTGCAAGTACATTTCATCGCCTTACGACCATTAACAAATCCCTCGAACGGTAGATTTTTGCGCTCGCGACTTTATTACCTAAAATCTGAGGTCTAATCGGGGGAAAAAAAAAATCTCTGATCATTGCACTTAATGTCAATTAACATGCGGGACGAGAGGCAGTGTTTCACTCGAAGTCGGCGCCGTAAAAAACGACGAAAAAAGGATGTTCACGTACTCGCTTATCCTCAACCTTCGATCCTGTCAGGTATACACTTTACGTAAGTGCACTTTTTCTTCCCGAGCTATCCTGAAGGCTGCAGGCTTAAAAAAAGAGGAAAAAATAAAAAATCGCAATTCGAGCCTTTCGTTTCCCCGAGGTCGAAGAAACGCACTCGGTGCTTCGCCTTCGGATCGTTTCTCGGATTTGTTTATTCCTCTTATCGATCGCCATTCTCGCTCCCACCGGTCGCACCTGCCGCGAATGAAGTAATCTTTGACCGGTTCGGCAATGGGCAAGTCATTCCCGCGGAAGTCCGTCGATCGCTGAGGAGCATTAAAAGTGCCGCGAGGAGACAGGCGAGAAATTCTCCCGAAAAAAAAGGCCGTGACAAAAATCGGGGAGCCTTTCAATTTCACATCTCCCGCCAGACCAGCGAGTCGCGAAAGTGGAGGAATTATTATCGCACATAGGAGTGCAGGAACCATTTGGAGAAGATAACCAGTTCCGCTACCCCGTTAAAAAAGAAAAAAAAAAAAGAAGAGAAAGATACCTTCGCATCTCTCTTTTGGAAGCTATACTGGGACTTGGTGTATTTTGATAAATCTTCGGGAATTTCATTTATATACATTTGTTATCACGTTACGAGTACCGATTCAAAATCAAAGCTCAAAAAATAATCAATTCAAAAAAGAAAATTCTAAGCAGGGTGGCGGGGTCACATCATTTTTAAGACCTGGTACCAGAGGTATAGGAATCTTGATAGGAGGGCCCAATTAAAAATTCGGATCCGGCCAATTTGCATCGACGGAGTTTCTAAAAAAAAATCGAGTGTGTGAGTGTCGAAGGGGCCCTGTTACTTAGGCTCGAAAAGGCGGGGAAACGGGGAGAATTCGGGGATATCGGGGATTCGAGAAGCTTTGAAGGCAGTCCCCTGAAACTTCCAAGGCGGCCGAGTCTGCCAGGAGTAGCGTCCGAGGCTGGTGGTGGCGCGAGGTCGCCGCGTGGTTTACAATGACAACGGGTCTCTAAAGTGCTCCAAACGACTCTAGGACGTGACGGTGATAGAGAACGATTCGCCGCTCTCGGAGAGATTATGCCCAATGAGGCATCGCGGCGGGCCGCGGCGGGACGCAGCGCTGGCCCTTTACCTCAAGACGGCGCGTCCACCGCTCGCGAGTCGCCATGAGAAAGCCGGACATTGCCGATCCGGACGTCACGGCAGATCGGTCGAGAGCCGGGGAACGAGATGAGTGCGGAATCGCACCGAGTACCGGCGATCGAGACGAGGGTGGGACCGCATCGAGGAGCAGTGATCGAGAAGAGCGCGAAACGGTACCAAGGAACCGTGAAAACGACGATCGGCGCGGCGAAGAGGCCCTCGAGGCCAACCTCGAGGACGTCCCCCGAGTCATAATTGATCCCGAACCCAGGACCGACGGAGCGGTCCAAGAAATCGGCGAGATGCGTGACCTGCGCCCACCCTGCGAGTCGAAGCTGCGGCATTATTCCCTGACGACCCTGGAGAACCGTCTCAGCACCTCCAAGGAGCCCGTCAGACTGACTCCGGTGTACCGCTCGGCAAGGTGCACCTACGGCCGCGGCGTATCCGAAAATGGGATCCAGGATGTCGAGGACGCCTGCGGGAAGAACGTGGAGATCGACGCCGGAGAGCCGCCTCCGGTCGACGAGTCTCTGTTCTTCGATAACCTGGAGCCTCTCAGGAGGTTCCCCATCAGCGACCGCAGCATCAAGCAGGCGCTCTGGTCGGCCATCGGCGCGGTGGAGATGAAGACGTTGCTGGACATGGAGAGAGGATACTTGAAGGAAGAGCCCGATGGGAGTCTGCTGGCAGGGAGTAGCCCCAGGTTGAAGAACGTCGCCTACGTCTGGGCCTGTTTCAGGGGGCTTCCCGCGCTGCTGCCGAAGCTGGAGAAGGCTGGAGCCGACCTGCAGTACGTGGAGCCCTCGACAGGGGTCAACGCCATCCTGGCGGCGTCTCTCTCGGGGAACCTGCCGTGTCTGGAACACCTGATCGAGAAGGGGGCGGACGTCGACTTCGTGAAACGCAAGAGTCACTGTACGCCCTTACACTTTGCAGCGATTGGGAACTCCGCCGATGCCGTTGAGCTGCTGCTGGACAAGGGAGCCAAGCTGTACACGAATTGTCAGGACGTGGAGCCGGTTCTGCACTGCGCCATCAGAGCGAAGGCCGTCGAGGTGGTCAGGGTTCTGTTGAAACGTGGAGCCAGCGTCGCCCTGAAGAACCAGCTGGGAGAAACCCCTTTACACGTGTCCTGCTTCGTGCAGTCCGTGCAGTGCGCGGAGCTGCTGCTCAGCACCCCAGGGACCGACGTCAACGCCGTCGACAGGACTCACAGGACCCCGCTGCACTTCGCCGTGATGAACACCAGCTCCTCCGCCGAGCTCGTCGAGCTGTTGCTGAAACATGGGGCTTGGGTGAACTCCAGCGATAAAAGTGGCCTTACGCCTTTACACATTGCTGCTTTGAACGAGCAGTCTCACTGCGTGGACACCTTGATCTGGGCCGGGGCAGACATGAGCGCCACCACGAATTCTGGACTCTCGGCGCTGAACGTCGTCCTCAGGAAAATCCCCGAGTCTCTTCAGGTATTCCGGCAGAGGCTGGACGCCTCCATTCGCCTCAGAAGACCCGTGCCCCATAACAGAGAGTTCGAGATGCGGTTTCACTTTGACCTCCTCTTCCCCAGCAACAACGAGTGCGAGACCAGCTTCATCAACACCTTCGTCCAGGAGCGGCAGAAGGACCTGCTGTCGCACCCCCTCGTGGTGGCCTTTTTGCACCTGAAGTGGGAGAATATCAGGAAGTTCTACCTGGCGAGGATCCTGCTCTACGCCATGACCGTCATCTGCATGACCACCTATGTCCTCACCGCTCTGGCGTACAAGTGCTACAACCACGGCGAGGCCAACTACTCCAAGATCTGCGGCAACAAGAGGATGTCCGCCTTCCTCTTCAGGAAGCCCGTCATCGAGCTCGAGTGGTACCTATCCCTGGTCCTCACCTGCGTCACCATACCTAGGAAGATATTCGGCTTCATGGTGTACAAGTCCGCCAAGCAGTACTTCTCCAACATCGACAACGTCCTCGACGCGATCGTCATCGTCAGCGTCTTCGTCACGTCCTTCGTGTACACCGGAAGGACCTACGACTGGCAGAATTACGTCGGAGCTTTCGCGATACTCTGCGCCTGGACCAATCTGATGCTGATGGTCGGCCAGCTGCCTGCGTTTGGCACCTACGTCGCCATGTTCACGCACATCCAGTTCGAGTTTGCGAAACTCCTTTTGGCGTACTCCGGTCTGCTGATCGGTTTCACCATCAGCTTCTGCGTCATCTTCGTCAGCGAGCCGTCCTTTGGTAATCCCTTCACGGGTCTCATCAAGGTCCTGGCCATGATGGCCGGGGAGCTGGACTTCGAGGGGCTGATCAACCAGGCCGACCAGAACTCGGATGGACCCCTCGTCATCTATCATCCCCTGTCCGTCTGCTCGCAGATCCTCTTCACGCTCTTCATCGTCTTCGTCACCGTCATCCTGATGAATCTCCTGGTCGGCATTGCCGTCCACGATATCCAGGGTCTTCGGAATCATGCCGGCCTCACCAAGCTCGTTCGCCAGACCAAGTTGATCCTCTTCACGGAGATGGTTCTGCACAACGGGACCATCCCCTACGCCTTCAGGAAGTGGATGTCCGAGCACAAGATCGACGTGGAAAATCGGAAGAGGGTCCTCGTGGTCAAGCCCTTGAACCCTCTGGAGAAGAGGCTCCCGAAGGACATTTTGAAGGCCGCTTACGAGATTGCCCAGAAGAACGCTCCTCTTGTTAACGAGGACAATATCAGTCTCAGTGAACACGTTACCTGGATGAAGCAGCACAGCGAGGAGAGCGTCGACGCCGAGCTGAGACTCGCCGTTGAGAATCTGTCCTTGAAGATGAGGACCAACGAGGACGAGATCAAGTTCATCAGGGAACGACTGGTCGAGACCAATAAGATGCTGGAGGACATTTTGACGAGAGTCACTGGAGATGATAAGACTCTTAAATGACGAGATATCACTGCGGATGGTGGAACTTTATTGAACTCTTTGCACCCTCGAGTGACGGAATTGTATAATGTTCCTGAAGAGCGGGTTGAGCTGACATGAAATTAGGTGTAACGATCTAATTATCGACCAATTTGCAATCAGTCGATATCGGTCGCATTACGACTCTTTGAAGTGCCTCCGATTATTCCTTAGACTGCTGATTACCAAGTGCCAATACTCCCAAGATATTACTCTTTACTTCGATTGTGTTAAATTCGTCATTTTTTGTTGTTCACTGAATATTCTCAATTTTACGTAGAAGAGGTCTGAGGAGCTGTCGATGCTTTTACTCGTGAATGCATTGTAATGTCCTACTTGCGCGGTAGAACGATCCATTGTTGCCTTTATGGTGTTCAGTTCATTAGAGAATAGAGACGTTATTTATGTCCTGTAAATTATTTAATATACGCGTTTACATGAGGTGAATCCGATTCGTCGAATCACTATATCGAGAAATTGTCTGTTTTATTAGATTTATTATACAGATGTTACTTTTAATTCGAAGATAGATACTTAGTAGCGCTAAGAATTTAATTGACGTCGTCGTGTAATTTATCGTGATGTATTGTAGATATTGCATGTTTTAATGATATGAATAAAAATATTTGTGAAAAAGATTACTCATGGAGTACATTAGTCGGAGTTAGGATGAGGATGCGGATGCTTTTAGTTAATTAATTCTGGTTTACAGATTTTATTTCCATTGACGTTTACGGAGATGCATGACAAAGTCGATGTTGAAGCAACCGTTAAAGGTGGTGGACGAACTGGACAGTCCGGAGCAATACGATGGGGTATTTCATGGGCTCTCCGAAGCTTTGTTAATATCGAAATGATAGAGAAAATGAAAGTTGGTAAGCGAATTTGTCTCACATTAAGAAATAGAGTGACATTAATGAAATAAAACTACGACAGGAAATAGTCACTGGGAAGATCGAATATTAAATAACAATTTGTTTTAGCTGGACTCCTCCAAAGAGACTACAGACGACGAGAAAGAAAGAAGCCAGGTCAAGAAGGTGCCAGAAGAAAGTTCACGTGGAAAAAGCGTTAAAAAAATTGTTAACAGATGTTCACCCTTTATTTCATACAAATTCTATCATCGTATGATTTATATGTAGATAATTATAAACCTACTGAGGTAAAAAGATCTGGTGTGACGTAAACATTTGAAATGATCTACATTTTATCTAAGGGCTGTATTCCAAGTAATTTCATTCCTTGGGCTAATACATTTTTACAAGCATGGAAAAGAAGTAATCGCTGCGAAGCAACATCCGTTGGCTCACCCTTTACTCGTAGGAGTTTGATAGCCTTGTTCGTTACGTTGCTGTAATGAAGTAATGTTGCATTAATGAGTCAGTATATCATAACGAAAGCTAAATTAATTTATAACTAAGTTTACAATACCATAGTGCAAACAGATATATCGTCAGAATGCAAGGCTCTAATGTTTGATATGATTTAAAGACACTCTCTTCAAATTTTCCAAGAACCAGAGCAACCTCATCGACGACAGGCTCCATTAAAAGAGTTGGATCGCACTCGTGCACGAGTTTTACATTGCAATTCTTTTCCAAGTTTGACAGGCGACAATGAACGTACTGCATTTTTACGCCTGTATCCCCCTTTACCTAAATATTGGGTAATATAAGTTTTCATTGCAGTGTTACGATAGTTAGAACATGATTTACATACATCTAAAGCTGTATCCCAATCAAACTGGTAGTCTTTCTGTCTTCTTTGCTTGAAATCGTTAACTATTACAGCAGATATACCTAATATATCGGAAGTATGGTTGGATACATCCACATTAACTTTTGTCGCTGCAATCAATTATGTATTAATCAGTTATGTATAATTTTCTTAACATTAATAGGTAGTCAGCACTTCATTACTGATAATCAATGCAATTACTTACTAGGAGATTGTATTTGCTTTTCCTGCATGACATTCCTCATCTCATCTAAAAAGTCATCTAAAAAAACTGCTGTTCCCTTTCTAGTACTCATCCCTTGTATTTTCCCAAATTTTACATGCGTTAGTCTGTCCATCCATGGTTCTTTCATTAATTTTAAAATTTCTACTAATTTGTTGAAATGTTCAGTCTGACCACTGTCCACGACGTAGTACATATGGTCAAAGTTATATTTGTTAAATCTATCTATTGCGGCTGCAATATCTCTTGTTATGTACAATGTAGAACCATCACTTTTAATGATAGGTACCCTCATTTTCTTTATGGACACGACTTTTCTGTTTTCTGCATCAGTTTCCAGTAATCGCAACTGCTCCATTTTGGAAATGAGATTATTTACTGCTTTGGCATTATATGTTGACTCCCAATGATATTCATCAAAGGTAACTCCTAATCTGGCATAGATCTTTTGTAATTCCTCTATCGTATATTTCTTATAGGTTTCCCATCTTGTGAAGTTTTCACTTTCTCCATTTTCTAACTGTTTAAATATTTCTCTGGCTTTGTCAGCAATAGTGGGGTCATCTTTGGTTAACGTATTCGCATGTACGTAAGCTTTGTATAACTCCTTAATAGGATTTGCTTCCATGGACTCTTTTGAAACATTGCATAAATCAATTCCCAGTTGCACGTAGCCAAACTGGGTGCCCCAATCTCCTAAATAATTAATTTTTTTAACATCATTTTGTACAAAACTGTTTAGATTAGCAATATAATTGCCTAGTATCGTTGATCGCAAATGCCCTACGTGAAATGGTTTAGCTATATTTGGAGAGCTAAATTCAACTACAACTTTTTTTTCAGAATTACTTAATTTAGGTCGGAAAACGTTCTCAACGCTGTTCAACAACAACGATTTAATAAATTCATTCCTAGGAACTTCAAAAGCCAACGTATCTTTCGAGGATTCTTTAACAACTCTGATATTATTTACAAAGTCGTCGGTCTGATGCGACGCATCATGAATATCATTTTGTACGTCATATTCCCTCGTCCTGAGAGGAAGGAGGAAACAGAACATATTAGCATCCGTATTCAGTCTCAACACTAAATGAGAAGCGATGAAGTTGATGTCATTAGACGTTCCACTTCGCAGGACTTTTGCTACCTGAAAATGTACATAGAATTTATTACTTTTATATCCATCTTAAAGACACGCACAAATAAAGAATTCTTTAAAATCATGTAGCAGAGTAATTTGAGGTTAGAGTAATTTCCTCGCTATTTACCAGAAGAATATAGCATTGAGAAATGTGTACCTTGTCATGCAAAACAGACCTAACTGCGGCACTCATGTTTTTATGCTTTCCAGTTTAAGTGACACTTGTCATTACTGCAATTTACAGCAAATTCTCAACTTGAATCCCACGATACCGGTTCGTCGATTTAAAACAAATCCGTGATAGCTTATAGCGTGAAGAACGTTCCACGCATGTGCAGCAAATCGGTCGTAAAGCGCATGAATCTTTTTATCAGTAGCGTATGCACTAAACACTGTAAAAGGCTCTTTTTTATCTCGAATGCTTTCAGACCGGTCTTTGGTAAAATGAGGTAAAATTAAGTAATAGCGGAGGAGCAAGAAGACGTGAAAGTAGACAAGGCGGAATAGAAGCACATAACCTCACACAGTCATCTCGCCGAGCGCTATTACGAACTGGCTTCTGGATAATTTCAGAAAGTGAAAGGTGTAATACGTATATCTAGGGACTCGCCTGAGCTAATTACACTACTGCTCCTAAAAATAAACCGCGCATTTAAATGACTACATGAGCAAGAAAAATTTGCAGACTTGTCGAACATATTTTACAAAAAAAATTTTCTCGAAATGACGTTGCAATTTTAAGGATAGGTCACATAGCAACTCCTCCACGCGTTTCCAATAAATCTAGTATTACTATTTGTCAGTAGGAATAAAATTTTATTACATTTCAATAGAAATCTCTGATACATCGCTCCACACGCACGCGATCCGAATAATCAATCAGCCAATGAGAATTCCTATCACGTGCCCTGAAATTCCGCGTCCACGATTCAATTAAAATTTAAATGCCGTTTAAACATGAAGAACACCACATTCCCATCCTCGTGGATTCAGCAGCCCGAGGGACCGAGAGAGGAAAGTGAACAACTCGTCCGCGCCTAATTGCACGTTGTTAATTTACCGAGCAACGAGTGCACGCCGAAAGTAAATTTCATTCATTATCCAAATTCACCCTTTGAGGGTAGACGTCTCGCCGAGCAAAGCCGGCGTGACGTCACGCGAGGTTCGTCAATTTCCAGGGAGGGTGCGCAGTGGAACAGGTGAAGTGTGCCGGTAGGGTCAGAGCCCGAGGGCCTGCCTCATGCTCTGCTCCCACCCCGCCCGCTGGGAGACCGCGCTATCTCTCTCCCTCCCACTACCCGCCCACGGGAACGAGAGAGACGTCGCGACTGGTCACTCAAGCGCGGCTCTCTCGTCCTTCCCCTCCCCTCTCTGCCCTCCTACCGGCCGACCGGACAGCCCGCGCAGGTTTCGACCTGCGTAATGCGGGTACCTGTCATGCGCGGGCGCCGCTGCGCGCGCGCGCATGCAGCCACTGGCTCGACCGCGCGGCGGCCATCTTGGCAGATCGTGGGAGCCCTCCGTCGCTGCTGGTCGCTGCTCTGCTCGCCGCAGGTCACCGCAGGTCGCCGCCGTGAGTGCCGAGTCGTGTCCGGAGCCGCCCGGAGTCGCTTCGGAGGGAGTGCCGCGTCGCGTTCCGTCCGTCCTCGGTGCGCGAGGGGCGTGCGTGGCTCCCAGGAAAGGGTGCGTCCGCTCCGGAGGCAGGAAGTCGCGCGCGACCAGAGGGAGCACCGCGGTACCGGGTGTCGGCGCCGCGCTTTCGGCCGGCTCCGGAAGTACCCGCCCCCTGGGACACCGTCATCCCGAGGGAGCGCACCGTGGCCAGCATGGCAGGCCAGACCATCAACGACAGGCTCCTGGCCGCCAGGCACAGCCTCGCCGGTCAGGGCCTCGCCAAGTCCGTCTGCAAGGCCACCACCGAGGAGATGATCGGCCCCAAGAAGAAGCACCTCGACTGTAAGTCTTCGACTTTTGCCCCTACCCCACCTGCCGCCGCGCGCCCTTCCATTGGAAAGGCCTGCGAAAGTGAGGTTAGGGTCGGCCTAGCTCGTACGGCTAACCACCCGGCGACGGGGCAGCACGTTAAGTATCGATTCGCCCGAGTATCGCTCTCTGCCCTTCGCGCGGCGGCTCCCAGCTGTTCTCCGAGGGAGCGTCTCTCAGCGACCAGAAGCGGGGAGAGTTTTTACGAGCCGAGTCCACAGTAACACGCAAATGCCATCGGGAATCGCCGATGGCATCTCGCGGTCATCGGAACCTGCGCTGCTACTTCTTTTTTAACATTAGTTTTTTCCGGAACAGGAGATACCGAGAGACGTTCGCTGAATAATAAAGGGCCTAAATATTCAAGGAGGGTCTTATCGAGATCCTGGAGTTGTTCTCATGGACTGTACCCGTTGAATCTACACGATACCCTGGACACCGACAATGGAATACTTCATCAACCTCATTATGTTTGTCCTTAATCCAGATATCATCCTCCATAACACGTAAAACACTTTCGCTTTACACGTTACACCTCACGTATGAACACACAGGTATACCGGTTAACGTGAATCTGCACTTTCGAGCAGATTAGGCGAGGTGTCGACTCTTGACTCAGCTGCCTTGGCCTGTGCCGCTCAAATCCAAGGATGTGGACGCAAGTTAAATGTGAAAGTTCACGGCACCTCTTGCTTAGACTATCTCTTTTGGGTGGTTTAATGGTATGCTTTCGATGGATTCTCTGATTTATGAAGATGCACCGTGTCTTTAGGAATAATGTGCATTGCAGCCTTTTCTTTGTATTTTCTTTTTAATTGAGGCATTCTCTCGCGTTCAGGAAAGGTGCTACCGTGTGCAGTTGGCTCAACAATCGGACACTTGTCCTGAGACAGAGTTTCGATTATAATCCCTGTCTACGTCCGGCTACCTATTCGTGTTTTCCGGTGCGTGCGAGAAACGTCCCAGATAGGAATCTGTGCGAGGGCTTGACGCGAAGAAAGGAAAGAATAAACGCGACAGGCGTTTTCTTCGTCCTTGGGGCTGCCCGAGAGAGGCACGAATCGACTATGAGGAAGAAAAAAAACGCGAGGGTTCGACTTTGGACCGATAATCAACAGGGTATAGAAATCAATTTACGAAGCCTTAAGGCGATGCGATGGCATCTAAGAGAGCTATCTTTTTTTTTTTCACTTTTCCCTCAACTGGGTGTACCGATTCTTATAAAATTTCACCACGTCAATGTAGATGCTCTAAGGACCCTCCTCGCGGTCATAAAATTTGTTCTTCTTAATCTCCTGTTTTGTCAAGAATTTTTAATTCATTTCATGAGAATTTTTGTAGGGCTTCCATGTTTATTGGGGGGGAATTTCAAGCGATTCGGTACACCTCGGAGAACAAACAATCGGCTCCCTCTTTAGGTGCCCTCTTCACGTCGCCTTGACGCTTTACGAGGCAGGTAAAATTACCTCGAGAATTCGGAGATTGAATTTTCAAAGTGGAATTACGATGCGTCGTGACCGAGGTCAGGGTCGATCGGCGCCCGACCGCGAGTCGCGCCGATCGAGCGGAAATCGAACCGCAAGCGGCACCTCGGCGAACCGGATCATTTTGGGGAGAATGTCTGTCCTCCGTTTGGAAATTGCATCTTGGGTACGCGTAACCGACGGGCGAGATTTCGTAACTCGATATACCTCGGCACTTTCGGGCACGTACGCCGTGGTGTCCGCACCCACGTGTTCGCGAGTAGCCACGTGTGAACGGGTCCCGAGGAATTTCACCGACACCCGGGAAACTGGTCTCAATTGAAAATATCCCCTTATTTCTCTTTCCTATAATCCAGTTGTATTAAACCCGGTAGAGTCTCGCGCCAAATATGTATGTAGAGGCGCAAAACTCTGATCTAGTAATTAGCCACGATGTTTAGCCCGCGTCAAACTGGACAAAGAAATTTGACACATTTTCACACCAATTGAATGAGTTATGTCAACTTTAACCGAATCATCGAGATTGGACTAACTTTCCGTGTACTTTTTTTTATTTTTTAAGCTATGAACGCAATTTTAAAGATTTCACATCGCGTTCGGCTGCTTGAAAGTTTTCCGTTCGAACTTCGCCCATCCGAAATTCGCTTTCCTTTTTCGACGGTGCATTTTAAATGCTTTTAGGCAGCGATTTGATGGCCCATTAGGACGGTCGCGGATTCCGACAGAGCTTGCAGGCATTGCTCGCGGAATAGGACGCCATTGACGTCCGGTCTTGCGTCGCGACGCATGTCTCTGGTGATCAATGCCTAGTCGATTTCACTTGGGCTCTCGCCTGTATGCATCGCGGGGAATAAACGTGAAAGGTCTCACCTCCTAAAAATAGCGCGGCGCGGACACCACGTGGTCGATATTGCGAAAACGGGGCGCGCCGCGCTTTTGGCAAAGACCCCCCGCGGCGAGGGGGGTAACGATTCGATCTCTCGACGTCGGTCACTTGTCATTTTTTACCGTGACACGGGGGGTTGAGAGTCGTGTTCAAAGCGAAACAAGAGGAGTCATTCTTTTTTCTTTTTTTTTTATATCTAACGATAATTACCTCCGAGCCGTAATGGGAGCCCAGTCAATCTGAAAGCGGTTTCGTCGATTTCCGAGAGCCGGCCGGAAGGCGATTTTATTGCTTTACCGTAAGCTCGTTAATTTATTCCAAGGACTGCGAGGGGAAGGGGCGAGCCCACGTCGCGGACCGGAACGCAAGGGTCGGCGCGATTTGCATCGCGGTTTCGGTATGCTCTCGTACCTGAATCGGAAATATTTCTTGTCATCTCTATTCCCCCTGCGCTTTAGGTCCTTCTATACCGTTTAATTAGAGGATAAAATAGATAAGTCACGATTAACCGGCGAGAAGAAAAATAATTTCCCTACGAAAAATTGTTACCGCGCCTTGTCGCAGGATTTCGAACCGACCGTGGGAATCTGAGGGTCTCTAAGAATTCGCCCCGTGATTTTGGCACTTTCCTCCAATTTTCTTAGAGGATAAAATAGATAAGTTATTGTTAACCGGCGAGAAGAAAATGTCTCTATCAATTATTGTCGCGATTCGTAGACGATTTTCATTGTTAATTCCGTTGATTCGTGAGCGTCACGAGGGTCCTCGATTTCTCTCCTTTCCGCGGATTTCCAACCGGCCGTTTTACCTCGGGGAAGGTCAATACCGTCGCGTGTACACTGTCCGGCTTCCCGGCATTGATTTTTCCCTTGGATTACACGTCGCGCATGGACTGTGTACGCTCAGGCACCGGGGAGATGGAAAAGAATCGTGTCCTTTGACCCGAAGCCCGGCTTGCGCGATGGGCGGGTGCAGTGTATATTTTTTTTTCACTCTTTTTTTTTTTTTCCTTTATACCTACTACCAGTGGAAGTCGGGTCGCCGCATCGACACCGAGACCTAGAAAGCCTGTGTGGACATTTTTGCGAAGGCTTACGGTGCTATTGTAACGCGATGCGATAATTATATCTCGTGCATTACTGTCCAGCCCGAGTTCGGACACTATCAGGGCTATACTCGTTACGCGGATATCGACCGAAAAAAAAAAAAAAAAGAAATTATCAGAGCCTATCCTCGTGCAGCTTATTACGCGTAAACGCGCGATTATTGGGAGAGAATTTTTTTATGGGCCCTGGGATAGCCAGGAAATGATAGGGCGGATTTTTCTTTCGGTTGCAAAGCAAAGATACACCCATATATGTATTTCCTGAGTGAATGGCGCGTGCGTTATGGACGCGGATTATTAATTCCGCGTTTCACCGGATTCTTTTTTCTCCTCGGCAACGAGGCTTCCGTCTGTCTCCCACTCTCGATACCCTCGAAACGAGCCGCGACGATGTTGGGCCTTTTCTTATTTTCTATTTCTTTTTTTCTCTTCTTCTTTTTTTTTTTCCTTTCCCCCCTTTTCTACCGCGCCGCGAGGATTTCTCAAACGCGAGGCGTTCGCTCGTCCTGTCCGTTTATTTTCCCAATGGCCGCGGTTTCCACAAACGAACGAGCGGACGCATTCTTCGGGCGGAGATCCATCCCTCCTGGGGATATTTTTAACGCCTCCGTTTTCCCCAGGAAACGCTTCCGCGAAGCACTTCGTAGGTGCAAGGGACGGAAACGCGCGTTTATTTCGAGACCCTCGTCGCGGCGTCCACGGTGAGAATAAAAAAAAAAGGGGGGGAATTCATCTAGCCAAGGGAATATTTTACTGAACGATACCTAGGAAATATATGTCTAAATTGAGACATATATATTAATCGAATTGACCTGCCGAATTTTGGGGTTAAGTATTCGTTGCCGTTCGCGCAGCCTTTCAATTGTACTTGGCGCGAAGCTCTACCGAGTTTCCCGAGTCGGCTCGAATAAGTCGTCACATTTTCCGAAGAAACGTCGCATTCGATTTATTCGACTTCGAGGCGAATACTATTCAAAGAAATATTTCCCTAGGTGGATGGATTTTTTTTTTCTTTTTTTTCCAATGCATCGTGGAGATCATTCAAGCTGCGACTTTTATTGTTTTTCATGTATTCATCCTTTTAAATTTTCGCCTTTTATATCGGGGTGTAGAACGGTAGTATCGATCCGGAATCGTCGAAGGAACGCCATGGATGATAATCGTGGGAACTCCAAATATGGACCTGGAGGCTCTTCACGTGGGCGAAGTCTTCCGAAGGAGAGGATCCTCGTCTCGGGTTAAACGGGTTAAATCGATGGCGTGGAGATTACGCGAAAAAGAGAGTAGGGACGATTCGGGAAACCGCAATCGCGATAACCGCGACCATTTTGCAAGACATCTTATGGGATTATCGCGGCCGCAGGTCGTGGCAACGTGCGTAATGTTCTGTAAGAAAAAAAAATAAAATAAAAATACACCCGACGTTAACCGTGTGAAACGGTGGCGTGAAAATTACACGTAAAAGAAAAGGGATGACGGGAAAGACCGCGCGATCGTG